GAAACAATTAAATAAGAAGGAACAGCGATGACACTGCACAATGCCTCAAGGGGCATTATGTAGAAAATATATGTAGAAGAGCAAATGAGATATATGTAGAGGACAGTTTTACCACACAGCACTGATACAACTCTTGAGTAGTGCTTCATCTCAATCTTGATTTGACGTGAAATTGAAATTAGAAAAAAAAAATAATAGAACTTACGTAATCATGCACCATGTCCGTTTAAACGTATCTGTATGCTGTAGCATTCGCAATAACGTTGTAGCGTTGACGGTATCAACCGTAAACAGCCTATCGTCACGTGGATCTGAACAGTTGTATTGCTCGTGGGAAGATGGACATCGCCACTTTTGTAAGTTACGACTTACATACTGTTTGGCAGCGGTACTTGAATAATCCCATAGGGTCGAATATGGGATCATCACACTTGTCGTCATAATCTAGAGGACATACTAAGTCCATAAGATGCCTAAATAGGACAAAACAGGTGCCTTTCAGCGGTACTACTCCAACGCAACTTCAAAAGTTTTCAGAAAGAGAGCTTGAAATCGAAATAAGTAAGAAGAAAAAAGAAAATCTTAAATGTTATGAAAAGAAATCCTACAGGAAAAGCTCTTTTTCATTATATCGACGACAATTTCCCCAAGCGACATCAGCAGGTAGTATAGCCTCATCACCAGCGACTTGAGCGGACAGTAGCGACAACAGTAGTAAAATCATCTGTAAACTTAATATTCGTTATACATAGAAAATTGGAAGGGGAGGATTGAACAAAAAGAAACTTTCAAAAGACATTCTTAAGAGACTGAATCAGCACAATACCCAACCAGATAAAATTTTAACCATAGATTAGTTAGCTGAACACAACGTATTCAGCTTACGCCCTTCCCGTCTTGAAAATCCCAAGGAAAAGGATAAAATCTTATTCGACCCATATGCTATATGCTATATACTATATGCTATATGCTATATATATATACCAGTGCTTCACCTCTCCTTCGGAGAGGCTCGCACTGGCGTTTTGGAGAGCTAGGTTAACACTTTGA